GCTGAGAGTGGCAGAAGTGAACAGGGTGACGCCTGGCCTGAGGCCGTCGCCGCCCTCCGCGCCAGTGCCGACTGCGCTCTCCAGTGCCACCTGCTGCCGCAGAGTCCCTCCCTCCACCTCGCGCCTCCGTCGTCTGTCACTCGTGCTTCCGTCGGGGATGAGGAGGTCAGTCTGTCGCGGTACCGTTTTGTCTCAGGGGAGCCCGTGGCTGGTGACGGATCGGCCTCGCCTTCGCTGCTCGAGTCGCTTCGTCGGGGGGGGTTCGGGGGTGCGCAGTGGAACCCAGCCACGGGCAAACTCCACCGTCTCCTAGGGGCCCTCCCGCCCACCTCGGCCCAGACGGCCGTGGAGGCGGAGCACCAGGCTTTTGCGGGAGGGGCCAGATTTAGTGATGGCTCCTGTGACTACGTTGGGGATTGCTCGGTGGTCCTCTCAATTGCCCGTGCCGGGGTTGTGGCAGGTGCGACCCCCAGGATCGGGGGACGAAGTCTATACATATCCACTGCTCCCTGGCCAGGCCCATCCTGAACCCAGGAGCTGTGTATACGCCCTCCTGGCCAAACCAGGAGGGCGTGGCGTATACACAGCTGCTGTGTTCAGGATGGGCCTGGCCAGGGAGCAGTGGATATGTATAGATTGCCTCGCCCTACAGGAGTCGTTTCGCTGGCCTCTGGAGGGGGCTGCCACGGCAAGACGCCGCCTTTAAAAGGGCTCCACAAGCAGAAGGCCCATGTGGAGGTCCCTGAGAGCCCCGCGTCTCCCGCTGAATGGAGGGCCTGGTTAAATGACCAGGCCGACCAGGCTGCCAAGTCGGCCTGCAAGCTGCACGATATCCACGGCCCCACTCTGGCCCATTTCGAAGACTAGCTTGCGCGGGTCTCGAAATTCGCCGTAGCTGCTGCCAGTGTCCTTGCTTCGGGGCCAGCGCCCCAATTTGAATGGAAGGACCTCCGACGGGCACAGTGCCCCAAGGTCCCCGCCTGCAAAATCGCCCACGATTTTATCCAGGTCGGACCCTCCCGCTGGCAGTGCAAGCTATGTTTGAGGTATAAGGTGACCCCGCACAGTTCCCTGGACCAGCGGGACTGTAGGCAGAGCGATGTGCCGCCCAGCTTTCAGTGTGTGACCGAATTCGCCCACACACACACGATATTGAGTGGTGTGAGCTCACCCCGCGGCCTGACGCCGAGGTGGGTGGTACATTGTTGTTCTGCAAGAAGTGCTGCCAGCACGCTTCCACGAAACCACTGGGCCTCGGCAAGGTTTGTCTCAGTTTTGGGATCCCCGGGTGGAAGCGCAATGAGGCAACACAGCACAAGTTGCGCCGATTTCTGCAGAGCAAGCACCCCAATCACGGGAATGAGAATAGGATTATTGTTCATTGGCCCCTCTTGGGACAGCTGCACGGAGCTGGCAAGGCTCCAGCTTCTCCCCGCTAGGTTTCGGGCCCGTTTCAAGCTGGCCCCAGTGGCCAGACCTCTGATGGGTGGGGAAAAAAACCTCCCTCCACCCTCCTCCTCCTCCTCCTCCTCCTCCACGTCATCCTCCTCCTCCTCCTCGTCATCCTCCCTCTTTCTCCTCCTCCTCCTCCTTCTCCTGCGTCCTCCGCCTCGCCCTCCTCCATTTTCTCCTCCTCCTCCTCCTCCTCCTCCTCCTCCTCCCCCCTCCTCCGCCTCCCTCCTCCTCCTCCTCCTCCTCCTCCTCCTCCTCCTCTCCTCCTCCTCCTCCTCCTCCTCCTCCTCCTCCTCCTCCTCCTCCTCCTCCTCCTCCTCCTCCTCCTCCTCCTCCTCCTCCTCATCCCTCTCTTCTTCCTCTTCCTCCTCCTCCTCCTCTCCTCCTTTTCCTCCTCCTCCTCCTCCTCCGTCCTCCTGGTCCTCCTCCTCCTGTTCCTCCTCCTCCTCCTCCTCCTCCTCCTCTCCTCCGTCTCCTCCCCTTCCCCCCCCCCTCCTCCTCGCCTCCGCCTCCCCCCACCTCTCCTCTCCTCCGTCTCCTTGTCCTCCGCCTCCACCTCCTGCTCGTTATCCTCCTCCTTTTCCTCCTCCTCGCCCTTTCGTTTATCATCCGCATCCGCCTCCTTCTCCTTCTCCTCCTCTTCCTCCTCCCCTTCCTCCTCCTCTCCCTCCGTCTCCCCGTCCCTCCTCGCTCCTCCCTCCTCCCCTCCTCCCTCTCCCCGCCTCCTCCTACCTTCTCCCCCCCCTTCCCTTCCTCCTCCCCTCTCCCCTCGCCCCTCATCTTTCCTCCTCATCCGCCTCCGCGTCCTCTTCCTCCTCCTTCATATCCTCCCCCTCCTCCTCCTCCTTCTCCTCCTCCTCCTCCTTTTCCTTCTCCTCCTTCTCCTCCCATCCCGCCTCCTCCTTTTTCCTCTGTTTCCTTCTCCCCCCCCTCCTGCTTGTCCCTCCTCCTCCTCCTCCTCCTCCTTCTCCTGCGTCCTCCGCCTCGCCCTCCTCCATTTTCTCCTCCTCCTCCTCCTCCTCTTCCTCCTCGTCATCATCCTTCCTCTTGCTCCTCCTCTTCTTTCGCCTCCGCCTCCTCTTCTTTCTCCCCGCGGGGGGGCGGGCGGCCGACGGCTGGCCAGACAGCGCGCGGTAGTTTCGCGTCGCGACCTTACCGTTGGCGCGCAAGGTTGAACGCCGTCCGCGGCCTAGATTCGGCCCGTCGTTGAACAAGCTGGCGTTTCTGAAACGGCCGATCGTTCAAGTTTAACGGTCCCCGCTTTGTCGGGAACCAACGCCAGGGGCGACGCGACGCGAACCTGCCGTACCCCACCACCCCACGACTTCACGTTTCTAAGGAGGGAGGTGCGTTTCACTTCGCAATGGAGGCCCCGATCGAACTGCGCCCCATCTCCCCATTTGGAAAAATCATTTGTTGGCGGGGTAGGTTTCGCATATGGCCTTCGAATCAGATCTAGGGCGTGTGGGGCCCAGGGTCAGGGAATGCCTTCCTCCGAGTGCCACAAAAGACGCCAAGCTGGTCAACCGCCTCGCTGGTGAAGCCTACGAGCAAGCGCAAGCCAGCCGGTATTTCAAGTCCAAAGTTTTGGTTTGCCGCCGGGTGTGGGTGGTGCGTCTGTGTCAATTTGACCGACTGGGGTTTTCCGCGGACTTCACCCCCAAGACGCACTCGAGATCCAAGAAAAGACCATGTCATCGACGCGGTGCAGCCAGAGACTTGGGACTTGGAGCTGGCTGGGGGTTTGAGATGGCCCACCACTGGTGCTGGCCAGCAGGAAGGGGGGAGGCTCGAGGTTCTGGGCTCCAGAAGTATTTGTTGTTACAATGCGACCTCCAGGCACCGTCACAAAACCGACCCAGGGTGAAACACTGCAACACATGGACCCTGGGAGAGGTCAGGGGACGGTTTTTTAACGGATTTGCCATTGCCCCCCTTTCCTGACCGATCTTCTCGAGGCCCATCCAGTTCAGACCCCCTTGCCGTTTCAGCGAGGAGGTGGCTTCTGCAGCGATGGCTTCTGCCTCTGAACCTCCCGGGTCCACGGCTTCCCCCACTTGCTCTCCGCAGGGCCGCGGTCCGCTGCGTGCATGATCCTCGAGATTCTGGTCAGAACGCACCCCAGGGGAGGTCCAGGGAACAGCGGAATGGGTGTACCTCCTCAGTCCCCCCAGTTGTCCAGCCAACGAGCCCAACAGTTCGACGTATGGATTCGGCGTGTAGGCGCTGCCTCGTGCCACAGGTCGGGAAACTGGGGCGCCTATGCACCAAGCTCCTTGGCCGATGAAGCGCTTTGGTGCGCACATCAAGCCCTTCGCAGCTCTAGGGGGGGTCGGGTGAAGGGAAGGAGGGACGAGTTGGTCAATATCGTCAGACCTGTCCCCATCCCCAGTGCGCCAGCATTCCTTAGCACCACCAGCCTGCCCCTTCGACCCCTTCGGGATGGGGGCATATACCGCGAGACCCGACGTGGACGACATCCATTCCCACCCAAAGGGGCTAGTCAGACAGCGGAGAGGGAGGAGATAGCAGGAGGAATCAGAACCAGGGGCGCGGCTTTCGCACAATATCGTTGCCTGATCGTAGCAAAGCCCGAAACCTTTCCCATGGGGCAATACTGTGAACCAGCTCCGTTGATCAGCCATACGCATTGGAGGCCCACGTAATTTCCCCCTCTCCTCCTCCTCCCCCTCCTCCTCCGCCTCCTCCTCCTGATTATGATTCTGCGTCCCTCCTCATCCTTCTCCTTTCTCCTTCCTACGCCCTCCTCCCTCCTCCCTCCTCCGTCTTACTCCGTCCTCCCTCCACCCTCCTCCCTCCTCCTCCTTCCTCCCCCCTCTTCCTTCCCTTCTCCCTCCTCCCTCGTCCCTCCTCCTTCCGCCCTATTTCCCCCTCCTCCCTCCTCCCTCCTCCTCCCTCCTCCCTACTTCCTTCTCCCGCCTCTCCCTCCTTTTTCTCCTCCTCCTCCTCCTCCTCCTCCTCCTCCTCCGCATTCTCCCTCCTCCACCTTCAACCTCCTTCCTCCGCCCTTCTCCTCCTCCCTCCTCCTCCTCCCTCCTCCTCCTCCCTCCTCCTTCCTCCTCCTCCCTCCTCCATATTCTCTTCTTCCTCCTCATCTTCTGACTTCAGGGGCAGCGTTCGTAGACTCAGGGGGGGGACGACTAGAGTTACAATTCGCCCACGGATCGCCGAAAAGTCCCCACCGACAGCCCACCCAGCCCAGGAGCATGCTGTTTCGCTATCGGGCGCTTCTCGCCGATCTGTCGGCCACGAATCGCCGATTCGCGCTCGATGCCACTCTATGGGGGACAAAGGATGGCATAACACATACAAGCTCGGAGGTCCGCGCGGATTTCTCGGATCCGCGCTGGACACCCCCCCCGACGCGCGCAGCGCGCCAGGGGTCTCCAGCGCCGATCCGAGAAATCCGCGTGGACCTCCGAGCTGTTGTGTTGATGCCGTTCTTCGTTCCCCTGCTTTCTCCCCCTGAGTTTGGCCTCCCGCCGCGCTGCCCGTCGTGACTGATCCCGGCTTCCCGGCGTGCTCAGGGCAGAGAGGTGGTGGATCCCCTCGTCACCAAGCTGCACATCGACCAGCGCACAAAGGCGCCCCGGTGGCCCAAGGGGGCCGATGGATCCCCCTTGGGGAGCAGTAGAAGGAGGAGGAGGAGGAGGAAGATGAGGAGGAGGAGGAGGAGGAGGGGGAGGGGGAGGGGGAGGGGGAGGAGGACAAGCTAGGTGCGCTCGCGTCATATCTGACGTCCTACCCCTCCCTCCCATCCCTTACCATGGCGCTGATTTTCTCTATCCGCGGACGCGTGTCGTAGCGGACCTGTGGCTCCGCGCGCGCGTGCGTAGTGGGTGGTGGTGGTGCGTGCGTGCGTGCGTGCGTGCGTGCGTGTGTGCGTGGTTGTGGTGCTGGTGCTGGTGCTGTGCTGGTGCTGGTGCTGGTGCTGGTGTGGTGGTGGTGGTGGTTGTGATGGTGGTGGTGGTGGTGGTGGTGGTGGTGGTGGTGGTGGTGGTGGTGGTGGTGGTGCGGCGCGGTGGTGGCGGGCGGATGGGCGCGCGAGAAAGAGGCCCGCGCTGGGGCGAGAACGCCATCCTGAACGACGGAGGCCAAACACCGATCCGAAAATGAGGCCCACGCTGCAGCGGGAGCACGATTCGGAACGATTCGGGAGCAGAAATGAGGCCGGCGCCTCAGCGAGAGCAGCATTTTGAACAAAAACGCAGGCGAAAACCCGTTTCCCGGGAGTCCTGTGTGTAAAAAACAGTACGCGGGGGGGGGGTCGGCCTTCTTCGGGACGCCATCAGGGGAAGTGGGAGAGTATTTTCATATTGTGTAATTGTGGAGGAGGAGGAGGAGGAGGGGAGATGGTTAGTGCAGGATCGAGGAGGAGCACCGAGGACGAGGATCGAGGAGGATCGAGGAGGAGAGCCTCGACATCGATCTGCACACTGACCAGCGCACCCAGGCGCCGCGGTGGCCCAGGGCGGCAGGAGGGCCCAGTCTACAGCCCCTGGGGCTCAGGAGGAGGAGGGTTCCTCCTCCTGCTCTTCCAGCCGCAGAGTCTGGACGAGCCCGCGCGCACTCCAGCCGCGATGGAGGCGCTGGGGTGGCCCTTGAGCCAATGAGTGCTCGAGCCGACTCCTGCACTCACGGTTTGGCCATGGCGCCTCGACACGGTCCGCCTTTTGGCTCCACTCCACTCCTCCTCCTCCTCCTCCTCCTCCTCCTCCTCGTCCCCCTCCTCCTCCGCATCCTCCTCCTCCGGAGGAGGAGGAGGATTGAGGAGGACGTGAAGGACCAAGAGACATGGTGCGAAGCGCCACTGCAGTCTTGTATGTAAGCATGCATACATACATAGATGCAGGTGCATATATAGATATACATATATATATACAATGTATATATACATATACATAATATATGTGTGATCCTCTGCCTGTCGGTCGGTCGGTCTGCCTGCCTGCCTGCCTGTCTATCTGTCCGTCTGTATGTATGTATGCATGTATGTATGCATGTTTGTATGCTTGTCTGTACACCAACATATACACATATGCATGCATACATATACATAGATATACACATATAGATATAATCATGCACGTATACATACAACGGTACACATATACAGGGGCATCTACATACTTACATACACGCATACACATATAATTATATACGCATAGTGTTGGGGTATCGGGGCCCTGGGCCCCAGGCCAATACACCTTACCAGATTTCCCTTCATTTTGAGCACACCCTCGGGCGCCTACCGGGCCTCCCCCTGGCCTTCCGGCCGCCAAAACCCCTCCGGGGAGGACGGCTGAGCGACGAGAGTGGCGCAAGAGGGCCCAAAACGCCCCGAGATGGCCTCCAGACGGCCCGAGAGGCCACCAAGACGCTCTAAGAAGGCTCCAAGATGTTCCCAAGAGCGCCCCCAGATGGCCCAAATTGCAGCATGCCCTAAACAATGGCATACTTTTAGTATTTTCGCTTTTTGAATATTTGCGGTGTCCACAACGGCCCCAGAGGCCCCCAAGATCGCCCCAAGACGGTCTAAGAAACCTTCAAGAGAGCCCCAAGACGGCCCCAAGACGAGGTGTCCAAGATGGTCCAGGAGGGCCCCACGAGATGCTCAAGAGGGGGAACCCGAACTCACAGTTCGAGCCCTCCGCCCAAAAGGGACCCCCGAGGCCGCAAGCAGGCCCCCAAGAGGCCCCCAAGAGGCCTCCAAGGGCCCCAAAAGAGGCCCCGAACTGCCCCCCAAAGGCCATGGTTCATTCCAAAACTTGCTCCACGAGGTGTCCGAGAAGCATGCCAAAAGACTTTGCATTACAGGTATCCAAGCATCATCTGTCCTTACACTCAGACGTGGAGGCGGTATAGGCCGAAGGCCATCGATAAGCAAACAATTGGCCAAGCGACAGATCCATCCCTATGCCGGCACGTGTAGCGCAGGGCGTGGCCCTCTCTTCATATATCGCGCGCCGCGGGACGCGGGACAGCTGATAACGGGCTGCACAGGCAGGCTGAACTCCGTGTGGGGCACGATCCGCGGGAAAGGGGTGCCGAAGAATCCAGGTACCCTCGCACGAAGCCGCCCACCAATGCCGCAGGTGGATCTTCCTGAAGGGCACGGCCCATGTGAGGCATGTACCCATGGGCGGAGGGACGCCATGCGAAGTTGCTCATTGGTGCCATAGGTGGAGCTCGTTCCAGGGCGCGATTCGCGTGAACAGTGTTCCGACATGGGCGGAGGGGCGATTCGAAGACCTTGTCTCTGGGGCTGTGGGTGGTGCTCCCTGTCTGGCAAGTTCTGGGTGAGGGGTGTACCGCAATGGGCGGGGGGGGGGGGCGTAATGCAAACGTTGTCTCTGGGGCAGTCCGTGGAGCTCCTTGTGGGGCCCAATCCGTGTGAGAGATGTGCCAGCGTGAGTGGGGTGATACTGTGCGAAGTTTCCCTTGACGTGCAGTTACTTGCGGGGCAGCACTAACCGCGTGAGGGGCGCGCCGCTGTGCAATGAGGCCGTAGGTGGAGCTCCCTGTGGGGCACGATCTTTGTGAGGGGTGTGGGTGGGGGGCCGTAGGTGGAGATCTTTGAGGGTATGATCCGTGTGAACGATGTGCCAAATAGGCGGGGAAGCGTTATTCGATATGTATGCCCACGATGGCGCAGGTGTTCCCACGTAGTGATCGTGGTGGGATGGCGTGCGTGCCCATCCGCTGACTGATACGACGCTGGCTTTGCCTTTGTTAGAATATAAGCGCGCGTTGTTCTGGTAGAGATATGTTCAGACAAAGTCGCGTAATGGGGTGCGCCTCTTCATCGTTTCCACTCGCATCTCCCCTCCTCTTGCCCCGACAGGCAAGCATGCGTGAGGTCTTCTCCTGTGGAGGGGGTGGTCTTGGAAGGGGGATCGAGGTCGTCGTCGTCGTCATCGTCCTCCACAATTACACAATTTGAATACTACTCTCCTCCATCCCCTGATGGCGTGCGAAAGATAGCGGGCACCCCTCCGCGTACTGTTTTGTTACACAGGATTTCCCGGAGTTGGGGTTTCGCTTGGTTTTTTTTTTTTTTTTTTTTTTTTTTTTTTTTTTCCAAAATGATGCTCTCGCTCAGGCGCGGGCTTCATTTTCGGGCTTCCGCTCGTTCCGAATCGTGCTCCCGCTGCAGCTCTGGCCTCATTTCCGTGCTTCCGCCCGTTCCGAATCGTGCTCCCGCTGCAGCGTTGGCCTCATTTCCGCGCTTCCTCTCGTTCCGAATCGTGCTCCCGCTGCAGCGCTGGCGTCATTTCCAGTGCCATGCCACGGCATGCAATGCAATGCTAGTTGCGTTCCGCTGCGCGATGCCATGCCTTCAGCTGCAGCTGTCATATCCAGTGCGTAAGTGCCACGTCATACTATGCCATGCTACGCTTTGATCTTCAACGTCATTATATGCAATGTTATGTTCGGGGCCGCTGTGCGATGCCATGCGTTGCGTTGCAAGGCTTTGTGATGCAATTCTTCACAACGCCACGCCACGCCATGCTGTGACATACTACGCTATGCGGTGCTCTTCTACGCCATACCATGCCGTGCTCTGCAATGCATCGCGTACCCTTTCGGGATCATTGCCTTGCTCGACATCCGACTGTGCGAGTAGAGAGGGGGTCTACGCCATGGAGGGGTAGGATGTCAGATATGACGCGATCGCACCTAGCTTGCCTCCTCCCCTCTCCCACTCCCTTTTCCTACGCGGAGCCCAAGTGGAGCCCCGCCAGAGTACCGTAGTGCGACCTCCCCCGCGACAGTCAATCCTTCACCACCCCTCCCTCCTCCTACCCCTCTTCTCCGCCCCCGCCAACGTGGCAGCGACTGCAGAGGTCAGTAAACCGTTTGCCTCACGCTCGCGCCTCGTGTCTACGCCAGGCACGCAGGCGCTGGCAGCCCGCGTGCGAGCGCGGGGGGACGCGGCAGCTGCCGCCCGTCGATCGGGTTGAGGCGGCCAGTGTTACGTTCTGCCTCGTGGGGCCCTCGAGAGAAAAAGAACACCCCGGCCCACGTCCCCGACCAACCCTCCGGAGTCCCAGCGCGGGCAGAACACAGGAGCACCTGGATCCAGAGACGCGTGGCCACAGGCCTGGCATCGCTCGGACGTGTGCATTTTTTTCCTTGGCGAGGGCCATCGAGGAACATCCTTGATTATTTCGCGAAAGAACCACGCACGAAACCGAACAAAAACACAGGAAATGGACGTCCGAGCGATGGCCAGGAGGAGGAGCCTGCCGCCTCCTCCCCGTGCACGCCTCGTGCCGCCGCGACCCATGCGCGGCGTGGGAGGCCCGCGAGGACGGTGCCAGGGAGGGTCCAGGGGCTTGGCATCGCTCGGACGTGTGCATTTTCCCTTCGGCGGGGACCATCGAGGAGCATCCTTGATCATTTGGCGAAGAAACCACGCACGAAACCGACAAAAAACAGGGAATGGACGTCCGAGCGATAGCGAGGCCGGGGAGGAGAGGGGAGGCGAGGGCGTCCCTCCCCCTCCGCTGCGCGCGCCGCCGCCGTGGGGCACGCGGTGGTTGCTGCTGCAGCCGCGTGCGCTTTTCAGGAGACGCCGCCCTGTCGCCCAGGACAGGCCTGGGGGTTGGGCGGCGGGCTCGTTCTCTGAGGGCCCTGCGCTCGTGCTCGGTGTTGGCAGGATCAGGTGCGCTGAGTCCGTTCGCTTCACCCCGCCCGCCCACCACGAGCTAGCCTCCTCATTACCTCGTCTCCCTCGACCATTCTGCCGTTTTTCTCCCCCCCTGACTCCATCATCTCATCCACTCCCCCCCGCCCTTTCTTTAACCACCGCTCCCCTGCCGTTCCCCCCGTTCCCCAACAATCAAAGCAGATCGTAAGGATTCACAATTTTCCACGGTGGAGCTTGCACCCTTGCCCCGTCGGCGCATCCTTGGCGACTTTCGTTGCCACTCCATTCGATACATGTCAATATCGTTTTTCATGGCCCTTGCATCCTTACAGCGCATCCCCACTTTCTGCTCTTTGACTGCACCCCCTCCCCGCCCGCCCCTTTGTCTTCCCTCGCGTGGCCTCCTTCATCGCCGGACTTTTCGACGCCACGACTCCTTCACAGGCCTGGACGACCTTTCCCCGGGACAGGCTCGTCGACCGTCCCCGGGGCCCGGCAAGGGCCCTTGGGGGCCAGAGGTGGGCAGAGGCCCCCCGCCGCGCTTTCTCGCGACGAGCGATGTGTCTTCCGATGCTTTTCCTTCGCGGCTTGCGCACGGCAGTGCGCTGCTGGGCGCAGTCGGCGCCTCGAGTCGCACAGCAAGGCGCTACCACAGGTCAGGAGACCCGGGTCTGGATCAAGGGACAGAGAATGGTAGAAGCGAGAGTTGCCGGAGGTCCGCGCGGATCTCTTGCTGCTTCGTTGGTCCTGGTTTTGTCTGGCGCGCCGAGCGCGCCATGCAAGTGTTATTGAGTGGTCGTCCCCCGGTTAGGTGCAGTAGTGTAACGTCGGGCGTGCCCCTCTACAGGAGGAATATTCAAGCAGAGTCAAAAATATGATGGGGACGACGTTGTTTTTTTTGACTAGTATTTCATATTTTTGAGTCTGCCCCTTTTTCCACCCAAAGTCCGCATGTAGGGGGACATGTCCGACCTAGTAGTAATGCAAAGCAGGCCCACCACAGGCCCCTCGCCGCGGGGCCGCCTGCGGTGCCGCGCGTGTCGTGGCCGGCGGGCGCTCCGGTGCCCCCGCGGCCCCCCCCCGCTCCTTTGCGAGGTGACCCACTGCCGCTCGCACATGGACCGGGCCGGCCCGCTCGCGACGGTGTGGCACTTCTCCGCCGCCGACCGCAAGGAGACGGCCCGCGCGCGCGGGGGGGCGGCGCTCTCCGTGTCTCCTGGGCTCGAGTCGGGCCTGTCCCTCTCCAGGAGGGAGGTTCATGATCAAGACAAAATTGGCTGGGGACGACGATGTTTCTAGTTTCTACTATGTATGACCATGTTGGGGGCATAGTTAGATTATTTCTGTTGTTCGTCCAAATTTCGCCTGTAGGGGGACATGCCCGACCTAATCTTAGGCTGTCCAGGGGAGGGATCGGGCCGGGCGAAAGGGGGGATTGGGAAAGGGGGGGTTACGAAATTTGCTGCATGCAGCTGGTTTCGGCCCCTCTGAGGGGCCCATTCCTCGATACATGGGCGCCTCCCGGCGCCGGGAGGCGCCGGGAAAATCAGTTACTTGAGCTGATTCTCAACCCCCCCCTTTGCTATCCCCCCCTTTCGCCCGACCCGAAGGGAGCTAGACGGTCAATGCGCAGAGAGAGGGGCCGCTTTCGGCTCAGCAGGCTCTGGTTTTCGGGCAGGTCCTTGCACTTGGGGCGGTGCACACACTGTTGGCCGAGGTTCGCCGTGGCCAGAGGAGGCCCCTTCGTTCCTCATCCAGCGTTCCTCGTGGTAGCGCGATCAATGTGTCCCTCCCTCGTCTTCACGGCTGGGTTCCCTTGCCACTCCGATCAGGACGAGCCCGAGGAGAGGACCGGGGAGCAGCGGCATCGGTACGTGTTCGTTCTTCAGTGTGCGATTAAGGTAGGGGGGCACTGCAAGGAGATCGCTCGCGCAAGCAAAAACAGCATCAACAGAAACATTCGGGAAGCTTCGAATGTTCGCGCATATGTCTTTGGTCGGCGTTGGAACCTTCCCCTTGGCGGCGCCTCCGGCGCCGACCTTGGCGCGCTCCGCGAGCCAGCGAGAGGATCCAGCGCCGATTCGAGAGATCCGAGCGGACCGTCGAAAATCTGAGGTCATGCAGAGCTTCCTTTCTCTAGGGGCAGCGCTCCGATCCTCGGAGGTGTATCTCGCTCTCAAGCGTTTCGATCCTGATCCTTCGAGGTGCCTCTCTGATACTCGAGGGTGTTATCCTCGAGGGGGGAGAGTGGAGGATGGTCAGGGGGGAAGGGGGGCGTGTGAAATGGGGCAGGGGAAAGTTTGAGGCTCAAAGATGGGGTCCTGAGGGATGGGGCATTCTAAGGACAAGGGCGGGATCCCAAACTGAACCTTCACTGGCTTGGGCCATTCGTCCTTGGGGCCTCATCCCTGAGGGCCCCATCTCTGAACCGCCGAGGATCAGGAGGGGCAAAAACACAGGCACACGTAATCGCCGATCCCTGGGAACACATCGGAACACAGGGACGTGGGGGGGAGCTGAACCTACAGAACATGTGGAACGGTGTCGGTCATCCTGGGAGTTGCGTCTATTTATTCGTGTGTCCCTGGTCCCCCTTTAGGGGGAGAGATGGGGGGGAGGGGGAGGCCGAGCTGGACTCCGAGCGCAGAGAGGAGGAGGAGGAGAAGGAGGAGGAGGAAGAGGAGGAGGAGGAGGAGGAGGAGGAGGAGGAGAAGCAGGAGGAGGAGGAGGGAGGAGGAGGAGGAGGAGGAGGAGGAGGAGGAGGAGGAGGAGGAGGAAGAGGAGGAGGAGGCAGCAGATGTGAGCGCCGAGGCGGGAGACGACCGAGCGAGCAGCAGCAGCAGCAGCATCTCAGCAGCGGCAGCGGGGCGACGCCGGCAGACGGCGGCGGCCCGAGGACTGCGCCGCCTACGACGCGCTGTGCGACTACTTCCTGGAGAAGCAGCGCGTCGGGTGGCCTGCTCCGTGCGCGCGTCGCGCCCCGTGATGTCCCTGGTTACCAGCCTCGAACGTATCCCTATCCCTAAGATTGACACGCCAAAAGGTGATGACAATCTTACGGATTAGCCTTGAAAAAATAAGGGAATCCCTAAGATTGGCATCGTGATGAGGCGATTCCGAACATAGGGATAGGAATATGTTCCAGGCTGGTCAGTCTCTGGGGTCACCAGACCCATACACGATCGCGTCGTGCAAAATCAGGACGGCGGGCGTTTTGGCCCGTTTTCGGCCCCAGGGAGCCCTCGCCGGGCCTCGGGACCGTAGACAAAAACGACTCGGGAGGAGAAGCTGGTCATGGGGAACGGGTCGGGACTTCCGGGGCGCCGTCTTGAAAACATCAGGACGTCGCATGTCTGGGGAAGGTGCCGATACCGCCACTCCACGGACCTCTCCCGGGGTGCGCTCTGACCCAAAATTTCGGGGCGAGTCCAGCGGTGGCGACGAGGGCCTCCGAGGAGGCCCAGAAGGGGGAGAGCGAGGAAAGGGTCGAGGTATGGGTACTTGCCTTGTCCATCCTCGGAGCTCTGTTGGGCCCAAGGTTGGGCCCGAGGCCGTTGTCGCTGAGCCACGTTCACTGAAGGGGCTCATGTCCATCCCCGAAACTCGGGGGCGGCAAAGAGGGGGGTGATGACTAGGGGGGGGTGGATATCATGGTGTGGGCCATGATATTTCCCCAGATTTCATGGCGCCTCTTCTTATTTCATTACGTCCCTGGCCCCCCCGCTGGGCCGCGCACATGCCGCCGGTCATGATTTGCACCCCCCCCTCTTGGACACCCCCCTCTTGGCCGCTCCCGGGAAGAGGGGAAGTACGAGGAGAGGGTAGAGGTGTGGGTATGCCTTTTTCCCTCCTCGGAGTCTCGACCCTGAGCAAGACGTCTCTCAGGAGGGGGAAAACACACAGAGACACAATGAGTCGTCGATTCCCCGGAAAGTATAGGAAAACATGGGAAATTATAGGAAAACATGGGAAATTATGGGAAAACATGGGAAATTATGGGAAAACATAGGAAATTATGCGAAAATATGGGAAGTGGGGGGGAAGACAGAAACCCAGAAAATATAGGAAAATAGAGGCAATCCTGTTACGTCCCAGGGCCCCATTCGGTCTCCCCGAGAGAGGGCCCCTCGTCCACTCCTCGCAGGCCCGGCCTTCGCACCGCAGGGGTTGTCAAGGAGTTGCGCTGACACTAGGCCGCGCCTTGGTGCCTCCATCTTCCTCGCCCTACCTTGTAAGGCGGGCATGCCCCCCCCCCACAGGAGGAATATTTACAAATACGCAAAAATTGTCAGGGGGCGATTTTTCTAATATTCTTGGCAGTTTTTTGAATATTGTTGACTATGTTTTTTATGTGTCCTCCAAGTTCCGCCTCTAGGAGGACGTGCCCGACCTGACCCTACTTGTCCACGCCTGCCACGACAGGCCACCGGCGCCCACAGGCGAGGCCCAGCTGCCGAAGCAGCGCGCAGAGCTCCTAGCTTGCTCGAGGCTGTTTTGTTTCAGAGGTCCATTAGGATATTCTACTGTGCTCAATCATCCACGCCTTCCCTCCTGCACATCCACTTGCTTCTTCTCCGCTTGCTCAACATCGCCCCCTCCCACCAACCCTCCCTCCCCTTCCTCCCCTTCTCTCGTCCCCGCTCCCCGCATCCTCCCCCGTCGAGGAGAGGGTTGCCGAGGGCCGTCCTGGGGCCATCTGGGAGGCATCATGGGGCGCCTTGGTGCTCTCTTGGCCAGTCTTCTGCGTGTCTTCGTCCGTCTGTGGCCTCGCGCGAATGCCCTTGCGGGGTCCTAGTTGTTCCACACTGGGCGTTGTTGAGAATGATTTGGGCAATCCTGTCTGTTCTGTAGCTGGCAAAGGCGCCCACGGTGCAACCAGTGGAAATTTAGGTGTTCAAATTTGACGTTTCTTCGCAGGGGCATCTTGGTTATCTTCTTGGGGCCGCCTAGTTCGATGAGGGGAGCCACCTGGCCGCCGTCTGGAGGACGTTTTCGACTGCGGTAGGGTTCTCTTGGACCGTGTTGGGGCCAGCTTGTTCCGTCTTAGCAGGGAATAGCGGTGCCTCCTCGAAGCTCCCCGATCTGGTGGTGGGGCCCTGGGGCTGTGATGGGGGCGCAGACCTTTCCACCTGGCCTTCCTGGTTGTTGCCATGTTAGTGTGTATGTGGACGGCCAAGAAAGAAAGAATTGTGTTTCACGAGAGGGCGCATGTAGGGCTCGATGCGGGGTGGGGGGTTCGCGGACACTTCCTATCATTAATGATTCACGCTGGGCTGGGGATTTGACGATGTAGATTATGTGGGAGCTTTGCGGCCCAGGAATTGGCAAGCTTGGGGACCCAGGTCCGAAGCAGGCGTCACGTACGTACGCGATCTGATGCCATCCTTAGAATGGCTCTGGGGTGGCTTGTTGAGCAAGCCACACGGAAAGCAAACGAATGTTTGATTTCGCAACCGACAAATCTCGCAGTGTCCGTCACTCCGTGTCTCGTCCTCCTTTCCCTCACCCCTCTCTCAACCTCATCCTCCTCTGCGTCGTTCCCCTCCTGCTCCTCCTGACTCCTGCTGTTCCATCCCGTGTGTGTGTGTGTGTCGGGCCTCTGTTTTTGGGTCCGTCTCGCTTCGCTTGTTGCGGAGCAAGAAGCAGCCCCCACAACAGACGTGCACCCCGCGACGGTCAGGGGGCTCAGAGATGATGTCATCCATTGTCCCCAGGGCGACGCACCGGATATCCAACCGGATGTTTTTTTTGTTGGTTGCCGAGCTCCTGCGCCGCACGCGCGACTTGCTATTTCCTGAGGGGCGGTGCTAATTAGCTTGGCACCGGCTCCTCGAGGCTCCTCGGAGGCATCGGCCGTCAACGTCTCAAACGTGCTGAGCAACACACGCACCCCGACGGCGCAGGGCGAATCATCTCGCCCGCTCCCGGCCCCGCCGTGCCCCTCGTACTGGGGGGGGGGAAGAGAAGGAGAGGGAGGAGGAGGGCGAGAGGAGCAAGAGGAGGGCGAGAAGGAGAAGGAGAGGAAGGAGAAGGGGAGGAGGAGGAGGAGGAGGAGGAGGAGGAGGAGGAGGAGGAGGAGGAGGAGGAGGAGGAGGAGGAGGGCGAGAGGGAGCCAGAGGAGGGAGGAGGAGGAGGAGGAGCCATGGGAGGCTTCGTCAGACGACAACGAGAGGGAGTAACATTAGGAGTTTTTGTCCTCGCGGCCCGTCTGAGACCGGGCAGACGCAAGACTCGAGCAAACCGGAACCAGGATTAGCCGACGTTTTTCGATGAGCGCGTCCCTGAGTTGGACGGTCCTCTTTTCGCTGGGTGTTTGAGATTGGGTCTCGTCATTTTCATGATTCAGATTTCAGATTGGGTCTCGTCAATTTCATGATGGCCCCGTCAGGCCAACCCGAGTCCCCCGAACCCCAGTCGTACGTCTCCCCGATGAGAAGGGAGGAAGAGGAGGAGGAGGAAGTTGAGGAGGAGGAGGAGGAGGAGGGAGGAGGAGGGCCATGATGATGGTGGTGATGATGATGGTGATGGTGATGATGGTGCTGCTGCTGATGATGATGATGATAATGATGATGATGATACTAAGGGTTCTTATGATTATGATGATGCTGGTGTTGGTGATGGTGATGATGATGGTCATGATCATGATCATGCACATGATGATGATGATGATGATGATGATGATGATGATGATGATGATGATGATGATGCTGGTGATGCCGATGATGATGCTGATGCTGATGATTGTGAGTTTGATGATGATGCAGATGATTATGAGTATTATGATGACGATGATGCTGGTGATGATGATGGTGCTGATGACCATGATGATGATAATAAGGATGATATTGATATTGATGATTATGATGCTGCTGATGGTGATGCTGCTGATGATGATGCTGATGCTGATGCTGCTGGTGATGATGACGATGATGATGCTGGTGATGGTGATGCTGATGCCGATGATACTGATGATAATGCTGATGATGATGATGATGATGATGATGATGATGATGATGATGACTATGATGCTGTTGATGATGATAAGGAGGAGGAGAATCGACCCCTCCCTAAAAAGCCGACTTAATATTCTGGACCCCCTTCTTCGACGGGGTGCCTTAATAAACCGTTCCTCCTAAGCTCCAATCCAAAGAAAGCGCTATAATAAATTGCCCCCCCCCAGTTACAAAAAGGGCTCCTTAAAAATCCGGCCCTGGGGGACCATCAATATGAGATTTGGAGTACACGCCAGTCGTTGAAAGTATGTTCTTCTTCGGTTCTCAAACGACGGGGGTCACTGTAGACGGGGGTCAGTGAGAGCGCCAGATCTTGCAGGATCCTGCAGGGCCGAGGGTGCATAGGCCCTGGCTTGGCTGCATGATCCTGCCGGATCTCGCAGGATCCTGCAAACCCAACTGGCCAGGGTCTGGATTGACCCGAGTCAGCAGATCCCCGGTTTCTGAATTCCCAGATCCTAAGTTTTTTCAAGCGCCTCCCTACTTCAATCAAGAACCGATCTGTTTTTGCCGTGTTCTCTTGTTCTCTGGGAAGTCCTTGACCCGATCTGTTTTAGCCGCCTTCCTGCTTCATGTTATATGTATATAGACTATACAGTTACATAAACTACTTCTGTCGGACGACGTGTACATCAGGGCCCATGTCGATCCCATCGATCCATCCGATTCGATGCCGGTTTCGGCAGGTTCGATCCGATTCGATTTCGATTCTCCGGCGGTCCCATGCGGCCCGTTGTTCCCAGTGCGTCGTTTGTGCGTCTTGTTGCAGCCGATCCAGTTGGATTTCGATGTCATGCCAAAGCGACCCGATCCGACGCACGTTTTGATTCGATCTGATTTCCCGATTCGATGGTGACCGATCTTGCCGCACGGCCCGATATTTCCATGGCGTTGTTGTCCATTTTGGCGCAGCCGATCCGATTCGATTTCGATGTCCTGCCGAATGCGGCCCGATCCGAAGCACAGTATGTTTTTTGTGTGCTTTTTCGATTCGATGCTGGCCGATCTTGCCGCACATTCGAGTGAAGTGTTTTGCCTTGCAACCCGGCATACCTGGAATCACATATCAGCGTTCTCGGCCGTTGGGGAAAACACATCGCCGCGTCCACAAGATCAGTCCGAGCACACGCTTAGCATTGTCGGTGGTGTAGGTGATTGCCCCGCCGGCCCGCTCAAGGGCGGGGAGGAAATCAAGCAGCTCGCTCCGCGCCACTGTTTGTCGGTTCCCAGGCAGGTCGCCCCAAGCTGGGACTTGCGACCCCATGTTTGAAGAGAGATCCGAATATACTGTTAAGTCGGGCCGGTCCCTTCTGTTTGACAGTTCCACGTCGTGTGAACGTTTGTTTCAGGCGTCTGTGCTGAACCTGGCATGCAGGTAAACCCAGCACACTCAGTGCGCGCCCGTGCGCGGTGTTGGCGACTGTCTCCCCTCGGTCCTGCCCACTGGCTCGCAGAGGAAAAAACACAAGTTAAAACATAGTCTGAGGACGACTTTTTGGATTGTTGGCAAGTTGGGGGGGTATTTTGGGTGGGGCTATTTTGTATTTGTCGTCCAAAACCCCCCTGTAGGAGGGCAGGCCCGACTTAAGTCGATGGCCAAGCCGCATCCTACTCTTCGAAGGCGAGGGTCGCTGCAATCTTCGCCGAGGAGTTCAGGCGGGGGCGCCTCAGAGCCCCGACTGAGGCAGGTCTCTTCGAACGCCTCCCTCCTCATCCCCCTCCGCCTCCTCCTCGTCCTCCTCCTCCTCCTCCTCATCCCCCTCCCCCCCCTCCTCATCCCCCCCCCTCCTCCTTCTCCCCCTCCTCCTCCCCCTTCTTCCCCTCCTCCTCCTCTTCCTCCTCCTCCTCCTCCTCCTCGGATGTTGGCCCAAGCGCTTGGCAGCAGACCTGGCAGGAGGGGGGCGGGGGAGACGCCTCGAGATCGGGAGTGGGGCCGGTGCTCGGTGCTCGGCTGGTCGTGCGCAGGGTCGCCCGGCCCTGGCGCAGCCAGGCTGGTACAGACGCCCTCGTACTACGTCTACGTGGTGCCGCCGACCGAGGAGTGCTCCGCGCGAGCGGCGCTTGCCGCGCGGGCCGAGGGAGGGGAGGGGGATGCCTCGTCGGGCGCCTCGGGAGCGACGGGTCGTGCCGGCTATCTCGGCACGCGGAGGCGCGAGAGAAGCGGCACCGCCCGCGGGGGCGCGACGAGAACTCGCGCGTCGTGCGTGTCGAAGCCTGGGCTGCAGATTGTGCCCCCCTCTCCAGAAGGGGTCGGCGCCTGGACTCGACGGGGCGAAGCGAATCGCGGGGGCGCGCGGCGCGAAGTGAGGCGGCCCAGGTAAATTGGCAACGCGCAGAGGGGGGTAGGGGGAGGGGGGAAGGCTTCTTAGAAGCACCCCTGCTTTTTAGAAGGCGCGGGCCTTCTCTATAGACGTAAGGCCGAGGCCTTCTAAGAAGCAGGGTGTTTCTAAGAAGCCTTCCCCCCTCCCCCTACCTCCTTGTGCGCGCCGCCAAGTAAAGGCATCACAGCGTGGAGGTCGGAAGGGAGCACGATGTCTCTTCAAGCGTTCTTCTGAAGCGTCTGGCGGAGGGCCATTCTCGAGTCCACGTTCATGATGTTCCAGCCTACTTTCGCCTTGATCCCGAGAAGTAATTTCGAGCACTGAGAAGGTTCCGAGGATTGAGGGTTTTCACGTGTCCGGCCCTGGGAGGCGATATTGGTTCGACATTGTTTCGATACTTTTCTGGGTGCTCGAATTTGTTTTCTGGCATGTGGCCCTTAAAGTACGATGGGAGCAACATAAGTCCAAGTGGCGGACGGGACTGGCCGAATCTGGAGGCTGCTCGTGTGGCCTCTTGAGGAGGTGGATCGAGGGGGAGGGTCCTCGAGTTACTCTCCCCCCAGCACTCGTCGCTCGGAACAGAAGGGAAACTCGGGGGGACCCCCCCGGGGGGCTCTTCGGACGCACCCTTCTCGAGGAGGCACGTCGCCCCATCGTAGACCCCAATGTTGGGCTCCATGTTTGTCCGGTCGAACACGCCACAGGGCCAGGGATGGGGGCCGCCACATCTCGGGCCTGCCCGGGACCTGGACACATCGCTCTTCGTTGTTCAGGAACGCCCTCAGTCAGGAGGGGAAAAAAGCACAGACACAATGAATCGTCGATTCCCCAGAAACTATGCGAAAATATGGGAAGTGGGGGGAAGACAAGACCCCGAAAATATTAGAAAATATCGGGGAATCCCGTTAGTTGTGCCTATTTCTTTGTGTGTCCCATGGCCCCTTCACTCAGAGCGTTCCGGAGCGCTCTGGAACGGCCGCAGCGCCCGATAAATCCTCCAGAGCCGCCGGGGTTTCAGAGATCCCCATCTGTCCTGGTCTCGGCTTCGTCTCATTACCAGCCTCGAACGTATCCCTATCCCTAAGACTGACACGCCAAAAGGCGATGACAATCTTAGGGATTCGCCCCCAAAAAATAAGGGAACCCCTAAGATCGGCATCGTGATGAGGAGGTGCCCAGCATAGGGATAGGGAGATATGTTCTAGGCTGGTAATCTCGGTGCCCTCCGTTCTGATCTCCGCCGCCTCCTCTCTGCAGGTACCTCTCGGCTCTCGGGCTGCCGAGCTCGAACTTCGTGGTCGGCGTGCAGATCCCCATCAAGAAGTGAGCGGCCCAGGTATAGGCGGGAGCGCGGGACGCCCCGGGGCAGCGGGGGGCCAGAGGGGTCAGAGGAGGACGTGGTAATTACCGACATGGTCAAGACGCTGAAATGCTGCGCGACGGGAAAATGACCACAGCCACTTCTTCTTGTTTGCGCCGGCTTCCAGCCGGCCGAAACAGGAGCAGCGGTTGTGGCCATGTCCCGGGTGCCAAGCTCCACGAAAATGGCCACAACCACTGCTTCGTTTCTGCGGGCTGGAAGGCGGCAACAAAAGAAAAGCAGTGGCTGCGGTCGTTTTCACGCCCCGTAAATACGGGCCACTTCAGGATCAGGAAGTGCTCGTGGCCGAGGCTCGCTGTGACCAGAAGTGCCCCTTTCGTCCCTTCTTCAGCATCTCCTCATGGTACAGTCGGGGTGCCTTGGCAAGTCGACCCTGCAAGAGCAAGGCCACAGGACACCTTCGCGGCGAAGGACACCCCTGCGTCCTGTTTGTTGCCGGAGGCCATGCTGCTGTCGGGAGAGCCTCGAGCCCTGTCGCGTGGCCTCTCGTGGACTGCGGCACGACGGCTGGGCAGCCACCCCTTCCCGGAAGGCCCTCGTCGCCACGGCCGGGTTCCTGCGGAGTCCGTGCACGAAGGCGCCACGCAAGGGGAGGTCCACGGAGTCGCGGCATCGGTGTCCTGTCCGTGCCGCCAAGAGAGCACTCGCAAAGCAGCGGCGGCAACCAGAGGAGGAGCTGCAATGTGAGAAGGGAAAGGAGGAGGAGGAGGAGGAAGAAGCAGAAGCAGAAGCAGAAGGAGGAGGATGAGGAGGAGGAGGAGGAAGAAGCAGAAGCATAATAATATGAATACTCAAAATAAGAACAATAAGAAGAGGGTTATCGAGACGAATAAGAAGGCGAACACGAATAACACTATCACGAACAATGATACGGCCAATATCGATATTATTAAGAATTATAACAATAATCATACCATACTGATAATGAGAATAATAAGGAGGATGAAGAGGAGGAGGAGGAGGAGGAGGAGGAGGATAATAATATCAATAAGAGAAATAATACGACGACGGGTAATAATGCAACGACTTATATCAATAACAGCAATAATACGAATACGTTTGAAAATAATGATAGTATGCGTACTAGCAAGAATCATAATAATAAGGATTATGATCAGGATACTAGTACTAAGATCCCCCTTCAGAGGTCTCCATAACATGTTCTTGTGGGAAGTGCCCCATCGAAAGAGATCCGTCTGATATGAGAACTTCTAGTCGCGCCAAAACGCCATCCCTGGGACGCCAACGCCGCGAATCAACACGGCAAATACGTCCCGACAATATACAATCGTTCCAGAACGCCGTTCCTAGGATTCGAACACCGCGAATGAGCGCAATTGTTGCGCCCTGACAATCTGAAATCCTGTCAGAACGCCATTCCTGGGATTTAGCAATACGAGTCGCTCACACTGTTGCCAACTTTTAAAGCGAAGGCGCGCGGTACTATAGCGAGAGCCGCATTTTGGAAAGGGACTGCCTTCCATCCTTGGACGTGCTTTGAAATTGTAGGACGAACGTGCGCGGCGCTCAGACGAGAACCACACTTGGAAGACGGGTCGCGCAGTTCATACATGGGGCCTCAAGCGAAACGCCCCGCGCGCCCTGCACATGGGGGTGGGTGGAGGCGGAGGAGGAGGAGGAGGAGGAGGAGGAGGAGGAGGAGAAGGAAGAAGGAGGAGGCGGAGAAAAAAAAAGGGAGGAAGAGGAGGACATACTAATCTAGAGAGGAGTTGCAAGAGGAGGAGAGAGGAGAGGAAGAGAGGAGAGAGGAGGGAGGAGAGGAGGAGGAGGCGGAGGAGGAGGAGGAGGAGGAGGAGGAGGAGGAGAGGAGGAGGAGGAGGAGGAGGAGGAGGAGGAGGAGGAGGAGAGAGGAGGAGGAGGAGGAGGGAGGAGGAGGAGGAGGAGGAGGAGGAGGAGGAGGAGGAGGAGGAGGAGGAGGAGGCGGAGGAGGAGGAGGAGGAGGAGGAGGAGAGGAGGAGGAGGAGAGAGGGGGAGGAGGAGGAGGAGGAGAGGAGGAGGGGAAGGAGGAGGAGGAGGAGGAGGATGAGGAGGAGGAGGAGGAGGAGGAGGAGAGAGTAGAGGAGGAGGAGGAGGAGGAGGAGGAGGAGGAGGAGGAGGGGGGACGAGGAGGAGGGATAGGAGACGGGAGGAGGACGCGGCCAGAGGAGGCGGCGGGGGACGAGCACCTGCAGCTAGGAGGGGGGGGGTGGGGGCGCCGAGGCAGGAGCGGCAGCAGCCGGGAGCACCCAAAAGAGGGAGGCGCCAGGGCGCGCGCCGCGCGCGCCGCGCCCCTGCCTCGTCCGTGGGGGAGCGCGGCTGCGCCCGCGCCCCGCGGCGGCGCCCTTTGTTGGATTGATGGGCCTCGCCCCCGCCTCGGCGGCTCCGGCGCCGCGTGCGGGGCCGTCGCCCGTGCTGGCGGGGGGGGGAGGCGCGGCGGGGAGGCGGTCGCCAGGGGCGGCCAAGGAGGGGGTGTCGTTCAAGCAGTGGCGAAGCGTCCCGGCTCGCCTACAGCCCCACCAGACTTCTAAGAGCCCCTGTTTGGTTCCCACGAAATGTTGTTAGAAACATTCTTGGCCGGGACCGTCTTGTTTTAACACATCAGGCGCATGTTCTGAGAACATTGGTTTTG